CACGTGGACCGCTGGAGCTTGAACCACTTAGGGGAATCCAGGAGCAACTGCTGGGGGCTAGCCTCCCCAGGGAAGTGTGAACAGAGTCCAGCTGCACAGAACAAAACTCCCAAACAGTAATGGCTCAAATAAATGGTTTCCTTGTTTCTCATGCGGAGAAGCTCAGAGCAGGTGCCACGTGTTATCAGGAATCTCCGGACTTTGCTCTCTGCTGTCTTCAGTGCTATAAAAACTTACCTCAGAGTACCTAATGGCTGCCAGAGCCCCTGCCATCACCTCTGTGTCATGCAGGTCAGCAGAAGGAAGAAACAGGAGAGGACAGGAGAAAGCCCACTTCTTTGAAGGAGCTTTCTGGAGAACCCCTCACCCTTCTGCTTACATTCCGTCGGCTGGAGGCAAGTGGAGAAATGATGCCTTTTGACTCGCAGCGTTGCCACTGCTCATGAAGCCAGACAGTGGTCAGTGACCGGGGGCGTGGCCACCGCGGCACTGTCCGCGCTGAAATGACACGCTGTATGTGGACTTTATCACAGGAAAAGGTAGAGTCCGACAAAGAGGAGTGGCACACGAAGGAGTACTGGGGTGTGTGCCACCAGGTTTGCAGACTGCGTTTTAAGCAATTGCTTATTTGAGGGACAGAGAGAGGGAGAGGGAGGCGACAGAGCGCTCCTGTGGCGGGTCTGCTCCCCAGATCTCTGCATCGGCTGAGGCTGGGCAGGGGACAAAGCTGGGGCCAAGAACACAATCCAGGATCGAAGAACCCAGCTATTGAGTCATTGCCACTGCCTCCCAGGGTCTACACTGGCAGGAAGCTTAGTCAAGAGCTGGATCCAGGAATCAGACCCAGGCACTAGTGTGGATGGTTCCATCTTTTTTCTTTTTTAAAGATTTATTTATTTATCTGAAAGGCAGAGTGACAGAAAGATAGAGGCAGAGACAGAGAGAAATTGAAATCTTCCACCTGCTGGTTCACTCCCCAAATGGCTGCAAGGGCCGGAGCTGGGTCAGTCTGAAGCCAGGAGCCAGGAGCTTCTTCCAGGTCTCCCACGTGGGTGCAGGGGCCCAAGCACCTGGGCCATCTTCTGCTGCTTTCCCAGGCCACAGCAGAGAGCTGGATCAGAAGTGGAGCAGCCGGGACTAGAACCGGCGCCCACATGGACTGCTGGTGTTGCAGGCTGGGGCTTTGCGCGCTGTGCCGCAGTGCTGGCCCGGGGCGCGTCCATCTCAGTGCTAGGCCGAGCATCTGCCTCCTCCCGTGAGCGCTCTGGGGTAGCTGGCACGACCGCTGTGCGGTGTCTGTCTAGGCCTGAGCTGCGGGTCCTCGCGGGGAGGCCCGGCCCTCCAGGCAGCTGGAGCGGCAGCTTCCGTGCTGCAGAGGGCTCTGGACGGACCAGGCCCCCCGCAGTGTCAGCCAGCCTGGAGGCGGCCAGGAGCAGACGCCACAGAGCGGGCGGCTCAGACGGCAGTGGCTCAGTGGCTCGGGAGGCTGGGAAGTGGAGACGGCGGTGCCGGCTGCCTGGCGCCCGGGGAGGCGGCCTTCCTGCGGCACACACAGCAAGGACGCAGAGCCCCGCCTTCTCCCCTGCCAGGCCCTGTCTCCACGCGCAGTCTCAGCAGCGATCAGGGCTTCAACGTGAGTCCTGAGGACGCACGTCCGTCTGCGGCAGCGCGCGGCTGTGATGCGGTCGCCACTTCACGGCTGCCAGTCTCGGTGCAGGCCGGCTGCCAGCTCAGCCCAGGCCAGGCCAGGCCAGCCGTTTGCTTCTCACCTCGCCTGAGAGCTCGGGCAACCCACAGCCCACACTGGGAGTGTCCCTGCCGGGAGCCTGCATTTCTGTGCACCCCAGGATGAAGGGCTGGTCCCCCGCCTTGCACGGAATGTTACTCGGGAAGGAATGGGTAGCAGGGAGGGAAATGGAGAGACCAAAACGGGGGTGGCCTGGCCACGCCTCCTGCTTCACCCTCGTCTTCCCAGAGGCCTGAGTGTGGCCCGGAAGGCCCAGGACTCAGAAGGAGCGGGCCAGGGAGCGGCAGGGGGGCTCCGCCTGCCCAAGCCGGCCAGCGTGCTCCGACAAGGGCAGGTCAGGTTCAAAACAGGAGACCCCAGGGCGGCGATGCGCGCGCGCGGGCCCTTCCCTGTGGACTTGAGTGCGCCTCCGGGGAAGCAGCCGGCACTGATCCCGCTCGGCTGGTTTTCACGAATGCGCTGGAAGAGGAAGTACTCAGGAGCTCTGCAGCCCGGCAGGGGCGCCAGTCTCTTCCAGGTGCTGAGAGGCAGGCGATGGGGACGCTGCGGGAGGCTCCCAGGGCTCTGCTACAGCGGAGGAAAGGCGGCCCCCGCGGGGCCGGAGTCGAGTGGAGCTCCAGGAGCCGAGTGAAGCCCCAGCGCTGAGCGCCGAGCAGCTGCACGCAACCTTCCCCGCCGGGCGGGCGGCTGCAGCGCTGTGTGACGGTGCCGGTGCCGGTGCAGGTGCAGGTGCTGGGGCCCCGCCCTCCTCAGAGCCCGGCGCGGTCCCATTCCTTTGGAGCCCACGCTCACAGAACTCCCGGAGCCGCGGGGCTTCCCTGCCCTGTGCCGTGTGGCCCTGCGGTTGCCCCCCACACTTTCTCTCCTCTTCTTGGCCAGTCTTTCCTACCCAGTGTGGGGATTGTTGACTTCTCCCCTCTGCTTGGATGGAGTGTGTGGCGACCCCACGAATCCCACCCCAATACCAGTGTGAGATGAGTAGGCAGGAAGTTACAGTGTAGGCCTGCAACATGATGCTGTCTCTGTTTTTTATGTTTTTATAAAAACTTTTGTTTAATGTACATTCCACAGGTACAGCTTTAGGAATACAGCGGTTCTTCCCCCCATGCCCACCCTCCCACCCCCGCTCCCGCCCCACCTCCTACTCCCTCTCCCATCCCATTCTTCACGAAGATTCATTTAAATTTAACTTCATATACAGAAGACCAACTCTATACTAAGTAAAGATTACAACAGTTTGCACCCCCACACACCACCTATGAAGTACTGCTTGAGAACAAGTTTTGCAGTTAATTCTCATAGTACAACTCATTAAGGACAGAGCTCCTACATGGGGAGCAGGTGCACAGTGACTCCTGTTGTTGATTTAACAGTTGCCGCTCTTATTTATGACGTCAGTGATCACCTGAGGCTCTTGACCTGAGCTGCTGTCTCTTTAACCGCGGGCTCCATACGCCGCCTTCCCAGGATGCACCTGCTGTGGCCAGGGCTCAGGCCCCACTCTGTTTGCATATCCATTGAGGTACCGCCCCCTCCCTGTAAAGAGAGAGGGCAGGCCGGGAGGTGGCTCTTTCCGTCCCGCTTATAGGTACCATTTTCAGTTTTTCTTTTCTTTCCAGTTTAAAAGTGAGCAGTGGCGGCTCGGGGTGGGTACTTGTGTGCAGCCGCCCACGTTTGCGCGGGAATAAACCGTCGCTGTTTGCACCGGCATCCTCTGCTGGTACTGGTCCGGCAGAGTGCATCCTCGCCCGCCCGGGGCCGCGTGCTGTGGCAGAGGAGAGAGGCTGCCCTGCCGGCCGGTCTCCCTGCCTCCCTGCCTCCCTGCCGCGGGACCCTGGCGGCAGGCCTTGTCCCGACCTGCGTCTGGTTTCACCTGGGCACTCCTCCCCGAGGCCCCGCTCCCAGTGCAGGCTCCACAAGCGGAGGCCGCCGTTCCGGTTCAGGCCTGGGCACCGCCGAGCCGGGCCTGGAGTCACGGATGCAGGAGGCCAGCCAGCCGATGTGCAGGTAAGACACTGGGCTCCCTGCGGTGCGTGTCAGCGCTGGGTGTGAAGGTGTCCCGAGCCACTGCACTGCCGCACGTGGGATGCAGGTTCCTGAGGCGAGCGGGAGACCTGAGCCAGGCAGAGCACCCGGCTGCACGCTCTTGGGAAACAGGACGCCTTGTGAACTTGCCTTACAAGGTGGGTGACTTCAAGAAGTGCGTAAGTGCTCTGTGAGTAGCTCCTCTACGGCATTGTTAGCGTGTGTTCAGTGCAGACGGCACCATCGAAGCCGCGACTCTGTAGGGTGCAGGTGAGATGCGAGGTGTGCAGGGCTCAGTCGGGCGCCTGGAGACGAGGGAGGACCTGGGAGGGCGGGAGCCGCCGCAGAGCGTGTCCAGCCTGGTACTCAGAGCGTGGGAAGTGCAAGTTCGGCTTTTTTGGACATTTCATAGAGGGCTGAGTCTGGATACAGAGCCCGCAGGTGTGGAGCGCTGACTGCGTAGACAGAGGATGGATAAGGAATGGCCTGCCGTGACGGGGGGCTGGGAAGTCCCCAGCCCTGCAGTCTGCAAGCTGGGGACCGGGAGGGCCCGGCGGGGCCAGTGGGGACTGAAGGTTTTTGCACCAGGTGAGCTGGAGGGGGAGTTCTGGTCTGCAGCAGGCCGGAGAGCGGGGGAGCTGGTGTTCCAGTCAGAGTCCGGAGGCGGGAGTGCCCCCTCCTCAGGAAGAGCCCTTTCTGTCCTGTCCAGGCCATCCGCGGAGTGGCTGTCGCCGACGGAGCTCTGCCCCCACAGCCCAGATTCCCGTGTTGGAGGGTTAATCCCCAGTGCCAGGCACTTGGAGGGCACGAGGGTGTGGCCCCGCCGAGGGGCACAGAGCCCTCACCATGCACCCTGACCTTGCGCCCCCAGCCCCCAGCCTCCAGCCCCCAGCCTCCAGCCTCCAGCCCCCAGCCCCCAGCCCCCAGCCTCCAGCCTCCAGCTCCCAGCCCCCAGCCCCCAGCCTCCAGCCTCCAGCACTGGGGAAAATGTGTTTCCGTTGTTCGAGCCTCAGAGCCCACGGCGTCTGTGACGGCAGCCTGGACAGACTCGGGACGCAGGAAGACGGCCCTGCACAGCCGGGCGGCAAGGCCTGGGGGAAACCTTGACCTCAGGCTTGCAAATGCCAGCGCTGTGAGACAGTGCATCTCTTCCCTCCCTCCCTCCGTCCATCTGTCCGTCTTTTTTTTTTTTGAATGATTTAAAAAGCAGATTTACAGAAAAAGGGAGAGACACAGAGAAGTCATCTACCTGCTGGTTGCCTCCCCAAGTGGCCATAATGACTGTGGCTGGGCCAGGCTGCAGCCAGGAACCAGGAACTCCATCTGGGTCCCCCTTGTGGGTACAGGGCCCAAGCACCTGGGCCATCTTCCCTGCTTTCCCAGGCGCATTAACAGGAAGCTGCATTGGAAGTGGAGCAGCTGGGACTCACACTGGTGCCATATGGGATGCTGGCCTTGCAGGCGGTAGCTTTACCCACAACACCACAGTGCTGGCCCTGATAAATTTGACTATGTAAAAAATAGGCTTGGGAGCAGACATTGTGGTGCAGTGGGTTAAGCTGCCTCTCAGGACCCTGCATCCTATACTGGAGTGTCAGTTTAAATCCTGGCTGCTCCATTCTGACTCGGCTTCCTAACACACTAGGAAGGCAGTGGGTGATTCCCAAGTACTTGAGTCCCTGCTGCTCACGTGGGAGACTTCGATGCAGTTCTAGGCTCCTGGCTTTGGCCTTACCCAGCCCCATTTGTTGTGGGCATTGGGAGGGGAGTGAACCAGTGGATGGAAGACCTTTGTGTGTGTGTGTGTGTGTGTGTGTGTGTGTGTGTCACTCTGCCTTACTGGCTGGGACTGATCTGGATAGAAAACAGGAGATTCTTTGGGTCTCCCACGTGGGTGTAGGGTCCCCAGCACCTGGGCCGTCCTCCGCTGCTTGCCCAGGCACATTAGCAGGGAGCTGATTGGAAGTGGAGCAGCCGGGATGGGAATCAGTGCCCATCTGGGGTGTAGGTGTTGCAGGCAGAGGCTTAGCCATGTCCATCACAATTCAACCCCCAAAAATCTTTGAAAAAAGTAGGTTTTACCAAGCAAAAATTACTGTAAAAAGTCAAAAGACAAAGGAGCAGTATTTTCAACGTGTAACAAACAGAGCTCCTGTCCTTGCTCGAGCAGCCCGCGTGTTAGGAGAATGCCTCAAGGAGTGTAGACAGGAGGGAGCAAGAAGCGTAGACAGGAGGGGCCCGGAGTCCAGGCTCCTGTCGGGTGGAGCGGGGGCACAGGCAGCTCCTGGGCTTCGCCATGTTCCCGCTGAAATAGCCGTCTGAATTCTCCGTCTCCCCATCTCTGAATTGCACACCGAGACCTCCCCGGATGTGGCTGAGCTACCAAGAAATCCCTGTTGGAGGTTTCACTGGCCGGAGTGTGTGTTTTCTCAGGCCGCCTTAACACAGCACCACCCACCAGGGGCTTGAAGCAGCGTGAGGTTCTCTGCTGAGTTCTGCAGGCCGGGGTTGAGAGTCCGAGCCTCAGCCCTGCGCCCTCGGAAGGCACCACAGCGGGACGGGACCCCTCGCCTGCACCTCGGAGCTTCCTGGGCGGGCACCCTTTGCCTGGAGGCGGCGGACCTCTGCCTCTTCCTGTGTTCTGCATCCCTGCATTCTCTCTTTATCTCGTGTGAGATGTAGGGCCCGCCCTCTACCACTGATGATTTTGCCTTGAGATCCTTAACTAACGACTTCTGCAAAGACCTTGTTTTGGACAAGATCAGGGCCTGGGGCTTGGTGTGCATTTAAGACACTGCCGAGCTCCTGCGCCCCGTAAGAAGAACCTGGGTTCCCGTCTCAGCTCTGCTCTGGATTCCAGCAGCCTGCTAAGGCACCTGCGAGGCAGCAGATGATGGCTCAGGTGCTTGGGCCTCTGCCACCCATGTGGGACAGCCAGATGGAGGTCCTGGTCCTGGCTTCAGCCTGGCCCGGCCCGGTCCTGGCAATGGGGGAGTGACCAGTGGACGGGAGATTTGTCTCTCTGCTTCTCTCTGTCCCTGTTTCTCAGATGGAATGAAGGAAGGAAGGAAGGAATACGATTGGGGTGAGTGCCCAGCAGTTGAGATGCTGGTTAAGAAGCCTGCATTGCAGGCTGGAGGATCCGGGTGCAAATGTTGGCTCTGCTCCAACCCCAGCGTCCTGCTGATGGGCGCCCTGGGAGGCGGCAGTGACGGCTCAACTAGCTGAGGCCCTGCACGCACGTGGGAGACCAAGACTGAGTTCCTGGCACCTGCGTTCCCTGGGGCCTACGTGGGCATCAGGGGAGTGAATGACTGGATGGGAATTTCTCTCTCTCTCTAATAAATAACTAAAATCATACACTGAATTCTGGGAGGAACACGCCTCCACCTGTTTCCCTGAGCCTTTTCAGTGGCAGATGATAGGAAGTTCCGTGCAGCTCGCTCAAACAAGTCATCGATAGCAGTCACAGCCATCCACACGCAGAAATCCATCCCTGCGCTTAGCAGCCTAAGCAGAAAACTCATGCATGTCGTTGGCTTTGACCACATTACAAGTCCGACTCCAAGCCCATTGCTGCTGTCAGCCTGGGGTATTTGTCTTAGCTCCACAGCCAGGGGGAGGTTCCGTTCTGTTGAGAGCACAGCCTGACGTTGTCCTCAGATCCTGTGACTAGGAGAAGGGTGAATGGGGGCCAGGAAAACGCAAGCCCTCCACTGGAATCCACTAGGTCTTCCCCGTGGCCCGCGAGCTCTTGGTTGTCATGTCTGCATTCCAGGGCCTTGGAGAGCATCAGGCTCTCAAGTAAATATTTGAGTTGTTTTTGAATATTTAACGTGATTCAGTCTCTGAGGACTTAATCCATCCTAAATTGGAGGCCCAGCATCTGAACCATGGTGACCCCTCCCATGGAGATACTGCTTTTCGTCAGGCCCTGTTTAGGTAGACCAGCTGGCCATCTGTTATGTAACCATTCACTTAGAAACTTCCGTGAAAGGGAACCGAGAAGGGTTCGGCTCATGTTTAGGCAAGAAACAGAAGTGGAGGTGAAATTGAGGAACAAAGAAGGACGTCTCCAGCTCTCCGCTGTGTCCTAACACACTTGCAAACATCACCGCCGAGTTAGAGCAGTTACCCCTGGGACCTTGGTGGAGAACACAGGATTCTGGATTTAGCCCTGTGTCGTCCAGTGGGGTAGCCTGAAGTGTTGTGCCTTGAACACCCACAGAGGGACCTTGTGTCCCAAACACGACAAGAGCCGATGCCTGGGGGGTGAAATCACAGCCCTAAGCCAGACCACGCTGGACTCGGGAACCACACTGGGGGGTGAAATCACAGCCCTAAGCCAGAGCACGCTGGACTCGGGAACCACACTGGGGGGTGAAATCACAGCCCTAAGCCAGAGCACGCTGGACTTGGGAACCACACTGGGGGGTTAATTTGCTGACCCAGATGTAGCTTGCAGCCCACAAAACCTCATGCCACAGCAAAGCGCTTTCTTGTGCTGAGCCAGCTGGTGGAGCGTGATGTTGCAATGGCTCAGTTCTCAGTAAGGGATCTGAAGAAAGGGGCAGGGCCACAGCCCGAGCCCACAGCCCCGAGAGGTCTTCCTGTTTACTATGTGGGTGAGAGGGGAACCTTCTGTCTGTGGGCCCTGGGGTTTCGACAGAAGGCACAGGCTGGGACTTGGGTTTGAACTGTGTGTACACAGTCCACACTTGATGGCCCGGCAGCTGGACTTGGGGTGAGACTTCAGATTTAATTCCATGGCCCCAAAGCGTGTTTGGAAATTGGCCTTTAGACTGTGTGAACAGGGCCAGCACTGGGGCTCGGCAGGTTAAGCTGCCACCTGCAACACTGGAATCCCATATGAGTGCCAGTTCAAGTCCCGGCTGTGTCACTTCCAATCCAGCCCCCTGCTGCTGTGGCTGGGAAAGCCAGGGAGGGTGGCCCAAGTCCTTGGGCCCCTGCCACCCACGTAGGAGGCGGATGAGGCGCCTGCTCCTGGCTGCAGCCTGCTATTGCAGCCATTTGGGGAGTGAACCAGCGCATGGGAGATTCTCTCTCTTTCTCACTCTGCCTTTCAAATAAATAATAAATTTTTACCAGAAAAGACTGTGAACCAAGTCACATTTCTCCTTGACTTCAATTTTTTTTAAAAAAGATGTATTTATTATTTTAAAGGCAGAGAGACATTGATGTTCCCCCAAATTCCCACAGTAGCTGGGACTGGGCCAGGCTGCAGCCAGGAGCCAGGAACGCCATCCAGAGCTCACATCAGCAGGAAGGTGGATTGGAAACAGAGTAACTGGGACTCAGGCGGCCTCTGGACACAGGATGCAGGCCTCCCAGTGCGTGTGAGCCCGCCGCGTCACCTGCTGCGTCACCTGCTGCGTCACCCGCCGCGTCACCACGCCTGCCCTTGTCTACACTGGCAGCTAGGAACAGGTTTGCGTGGAGCCGAGGGCTGTGCGGGCTGGGAGGTCTCCCTGTGAAACAGCAGCTGCTCGGTGTGGACCTCGCCTCTCCCTCAAGCCCCGCCAACATGTGAGTGGAGATTTTTTTCTTTAAAAGGTGTAGCCTATAAGGAAGGTAATAACATACAGGGGGATTAAGAACTTTTTTTTTAAACTGGAAATTAGTTAGGGATCCTAACCCCATATACCAGAGGGAAGGGTCTTGTAAGGGGAGAGCCAGGAAAACAAGCTGATCCATTTTCTTTTCTTTAGGATTTATTTATTTTTATTTGAGAGGCAGAGTTAACAGAGAGAGGAAAAGACAGAAAGATCTTCCATCCGCTGGTTCACTCCCCAAATGGCCGCAATGGCCAGAGCTAGGCTGATCTGAAGCCAGGAGCCAGGAGCCACCTCTTGGTCTCCCTCACGGGTGCAGGGGCCCAAGCACTTGGGCCGTCACCCACTGCTTTCCCAGGCCACGGCAGAGAGCTGGATTGGGGGAGGAGCAGCTGGGACACAAATCGGCGCTCATGCCGCAGGCAGAGGCCCAGCCCACTACACCACTGTGCCAGCCCTGATTCATGTTTCTGAGATGCCCGAGGCCTGGACATTGGTTCACCAGGTACTTCTGAAGACTGGAAATGGCTGTAGCAAAAAAGTAGAGCATCGTTTAAAAGCTGTCATCAGGCATGAGTGTTTGGTAGGACAGCTAAGATGCCACTGGGAGGCCTTCATCCCACATCAGTGTTTGGGCTGAGTCCTGGCCCCACTTGCAATTCCAGCTTCCTGCTAATACACACCCTGGGAGACAGACAGTGATGGCTCAGGTGCCCACGGGGGAGACCACCCTGAGGTTTTGGCTCCTGACTTTGGCTTCGTCCAGCCTTAGCTATTGTCATAAGATCCCTGACTTCCTCCCCCAGCCTACACAACAAGCCGTTCCCGTTTCTCTGCCTGAGTCAGAGACCGAGCACTTGGCCCATGGGGAGGTGAAGCCAGAGAGGCCCTGGAGGCCCTGGCACAGCAGGGTGAGATTCGTCAGTAAAGAGGACGCTGGGTTCGAACTCACACAGACACTCGGACCAGAGCGATACGCTGATGGCACCAAAGGCAGGGGAATGTGATCTGATGGTGTTGGGTGTCGTTCTCACGAGAGGGCCTGAGCTGGGCCCAGCCCCTCACCCCGCTGCCTGGCTCCCCACGGGCTCTGTTCTCCAGGTGAACTTTGCCACTGCCCTCTCCAGAAGCCAAACCAACGGGGCTACCCGGCCTTGGGCTTGAACCTCTGAAACTGGGAACTAAGCAACCCTTGTTTCTTTACAGGGTGAGTTGTTTCAGGTATTCTATTGCTGTGATGAGAAGCTGCCTCGTGCAGGGGTGAGGCGCTCATTCTTCCCATCCTGTCTCCTGGACACCGGCAGACAAGTTTAAACCTGAGAGCGAGTCTGGGGAACTCTGCTGAGGACGCTGACCACTGAGAAAGGGAGAAGGAGACCCCGTCGAACGTGAGTGCCCAACGTGCATTCACATCTTGTTTATGTCAAGGTTTGGTGAGTCACTCTTAGTATGACCGGATGGGCAATTTGTGAACAGCGTGTGACATGAAACAGGACAACACACATACACACATACACACACATACACATACATACACTCACACACATATACACACATACACACATACGCACTCACACACATACACATACACATACATACATATACACACATACACACACTCATATACACATATACACATACACACATTCACACAGACACACACATACACACTCACACATATACACACATACATACATACACACATACACACTCACACACATACACACACTCACATATACACACATATACACTCACACACATATATACACATACACATACACACACTCACACACAGAACCTGGAGGAAGAGAGCCAGTGAAAGAAGCAGAGACAGCTTGAACAAAACCAAGCAGATCCACACTGAGGATGCCCGGCGTGGTGAAAGCAGGTCTGTCCCTGGGAAACGAGGAGAGGGCTGTGTCGCGGTGGCTCCCGAGAGGCCAAGGCTGAGACAGCGTTTGGCGTGCAAGACGGTTCTCAGGGACTGGCCGTTGTGTAAGCTACGAGGAGGAGACAGACTCTGACTGAGCGGGGCGAGGCCTTGACGCCCCCCGTGGAGAGCAGCACTGGTGCGTGGGGGGCACCAGGTTCTGAGTTGGCCGGGAGGGCCGTGTGCTGATGCCCCGGCCCTGGCCAGTGGTGAGCCCCAGGAGGGCCCCAGGGAGCTGGTCTCCGTGGAAGCATCTCCACCTCCAAGGATATTATTTTTTAACATTTTTTTTTATAGATAAAGTTAGACAGTGAGGAAGAGAGACAGAGAGAAAGGTCTTCCTTCTGTTGGTTCACCCCCCAAATGGCCGCTATGGCCGGTGCTGCACCAATCCGAAGCCAGGAGCCAGGTGCTTCCTCTTGGTCTCCCATGTGGGTGCAGGGGCCCAAGCACCCGGGCCATCCTCCACTGCCCTCCTGGGCCACAGCAGAGAGCTGGACTGGAAGAGGAGCAGCCGGGACAGAATCTGGTGCCCATATGGGATGCCGGCACCGCAGGTGGAGGATTAGCCAAGTGAGCCATGGTGCTGGCCCCAGGATATTATTTTTTAAAATGAGCACTCAGAATAAAAAAGAATTCTTGGAGGTTTGTGCTGTGATATTAGAAACTAAAAATTCAAGAATGGTCAGAAGATAATGTTGAGAAAAAAAATCTGCAGATAATAAGGGACAAAAAAGGTGAGCACATATGACAAAGACAGTAAGAAAAGAAGGGTCCATTGAGAAGGTAGAACATTTGAGAAATTGGGATTCCATACGGAGAAAATAGAAAGGAAGAAATAATGTTTTAAAAAATTATAGGCTGGCGCCACGGCTCACTAGGCTAATCCTCCGCCTTGTGGTGCCGGCACACCAGGTTCTAGTCCCGGTTGGGGCGCCGGATTCTGTCCCGGTTGCCCCTCTTCCAGGCCAGCTCTCTGCTGTGGCCCGGGAGTGCAGTGGAGGATGGCCCAAGTGCTTGGGCCCTGCACCCCATGGGAGACCAGGAGAAGCACCTGGCTCCTGGCTCCTGCCATCGGATCAGCGCGGTGGGCGGGCCGTGGTGGCCATTGGAGGGTGAACCAGCGGCAAAGGAAGACCTTTCTCTCTGTCTCTCTCTCACTGTCCACTTTGCCTGTCAAATAAAAAATAAATAAAAAAATAAAAATTAAAAAAAATTAAAAAAATTATTATTCCGGAAAGAATTATAAAATGGAAATCATTTATTTCTAGATTGAAAGCCTGTCCAATGAATGGGAAAGAAATCGTATAACAAGACACAGAATCATGAAGTTTCTGAGGGCCGCTGCTGTGGTGTGGCTGGTGAGGCCACTGCCTGCATTGCTGGCATCCCACATGGGCGCCAGTTCTAGTCCTGACTGCTCCACTTCCGATCCAGCTCCCTGCTATGGCCTGGGAGGGCAGTGGAGGGTGGCCCAAGTCCTTGGGCCCTGCACCCACGTGGGAGACCTGGAGGAGGCTCTAAGCTCCTGGCTTCGGATCAGCCCAGCTCCGGCCATGTGGCCACCTGCGGAGTGAACCAGAGGAGGAGGAAGACTCTGCCTCAGCCTCTGCCTCTGCCACTCTGCCTTTCAAATAACTAAATAAATAAATCTTAATCATGGCATTTCTGAACAGCATGATTAAAGAGAAGATCAAAAAATAAAGCCAGGAGCAAAAACACAGAAATCAGGACTTTGACGAAAGGTCCGGAATCGCATGACTCTGGATTCCTGCGCCAGATGCTGGGCCACAATGAGTTCGGTGGCTTCGCAGCTCTCCGAGTCGCTTCCAAGCGACAGGCAGCCAAACCAACAGTAGTGCGGAGGCAACGTGAGGACGTGTTCAGAAATGCAACATCTCAGCATGTTTGTATCCAGAGTAACCTTGCACAGAGAACCAAGTGGCACACTGCCTGCAAACCCAGGAGGGCCTGAGCTGGGAAACGGGGGAGGACGAGGACGAGAGGATGAGGACGAGGACGAGGACGAGGATGGAGGACGGAGGATGAGGATGGAGGACGAGGATGGAGGATGAGGACGAGGACAGAGGACGAGAACGGAGGACGAGGATGGAGGATGAGGACGAGGATGGAGGACGAGGATGAGGATGGAGGACGAGGATGGAGGACGAGGATGGAGGATGAGGACGAGGATGGAGGACGAGGACGAGGACGAGAGGACGAGGATGGAGGACGAGGATGGAGGACGAGGATGGAGGATGAGGACGAGGATGGAGGACGAGGACGAGGACGAGAGGACGAGGATGGAGGACGAGGATGGAGGACGAGAGGACGAGGATGGAGGACAAGGACGAGGATGGAGGACGAGGATGGAGGATGAGGACGAGGATGGAGGACGAGGATGAGGATGGAGGACGAGGATGGAGGACGAGGATGGAGGATGAGGACGAGGATGGAGGACGAGGACGAGGACGAGAGGACGAGGATGGAGGACGAGGATGGAGGACGAGGATGGAGGATGAGGACGAGGATGGAGGACGAGGACGAGGACGAGAGGACGAGGATGGAGGACGAGAGGACGAGGATGGAGGACGAGGACGAGGATGGAGGACGAGGATGGAGGATGAGGATGGAGGACGAGAGGACGAGGATGGAGGACGAGGACGAGGATGGAGGACGAGGACGAGAGGACGGAGGATGGAGGACGAGAGGACGAGGATGGAGGGATGGAGGACGAGAGGACGAGGATGGAGGACGAGGATGAGGATGGAGGACGAGAGGACGAGAGGACGAGGATGGAGGACGAGGATGGAGGACGCGGATGGAGGGATGGAGGACGAGGATGGAGGACGAGGATGGAGGGATGGAGGACGAGGATGGAGGACGAGGACGAGGATGGAGGACGAGAGGACGAGGATGGAGGATGAGGATGGAGGACGAGAGGACGAGGATGGAGGACGAGGACGAGAATGGAGGATGAGGATGAGGATGAGGACGGAGGACGAGGATGGAGGACGAGGACGGAGGATGAGGATGGAGGACGAGAGGACGAGGATGGAGGACGAGGATGGAGGACGAGGACGGAGGATGAGGATGGAGGACGAGAGGACGAGGATGGAGGACGAGGACGGAGGATGAGGATGGAGGACGAGAGGACGAGGACAGAGGGCTCAGAGGGAGTGCCCAAGGGAAAGGAAACGGAACCGGTCCTGCCGCATCTGAATCTGAGATCTAGGTTCCAGCGGAGAGCTTGGAGAGGAGTTGCGTGTGTGCGTCATCAGCTGCACATGCAGAAAGCCGGGCCGCGTTCCCTTCCGGGGACGTGCAGACGTAGTGTGTAACGTGCTTTGGTTTGCACGAGATTTGGCTTCCCTACAGAGGGTGGAGGTTCGGTGTTCCTTTATGGGGTCTGAAGGGGAGGCTTCAGGAATTGGTTGGATTAGGTTGTTTGGGTGAAGCCCCACGCTAGAGTCATGATGTTTTTTTTTTTTTTTTTAAGATTTATTTATTTATTTGAAAGGCAAAGTTACAGAGAGAGTGAGAGACAAAAAGGGGTCTTCCATCTATTGGTTCATTCCCCAAATGGCCACAAGAGCTGGGGCTGGGCCAGGCCGAAGCCAGGAGCTTTATCCAGGTCTCCCACATAGGTGGCAGGGGCCCAAGTGCTTGGGCCATCTTCTGCTGTTTTCCTTGGCACATTAGCAGGGAGTTGGAGTGGAAGTAGAACAGCCAGGACTCGAACCTGTGCCCATATGGGATGCCAGCGATGCAGGTGTGCCACAACACTGGCCCCATCATGACTTTTCAGGGGAGACCACGTGGATGAGCGAGCTCCCTGCCGCTCTCTGCGTCCTGGCTCCCATGTGACCCGCTCTCTGTGTGCGCGCTGCTGCCCACCACCCTCAGCAGATGCCAGAGTAGCGAGGATCTGAGACTGCGCCCCTCAAATCCTTCCTCCTTCCAAAGCAGCTTCCCTCTGCTGAGACGGCTGACTAACACAGACCAGCTCGGAGGCAGACTAAGACGACTCAGCCCAGCTCAGCTGTGAACAGTGAGCACGCCGTCCTGAGAACCCCTGGCTACTGATAGGAGGAGAAGAAAAGGGAATATGTGAGAGCCATGTCTTTATTTTCCAAAGGACGAAGGCATCAGATAATAAATAAAACCGAGAGTAACAGGAGAAGCTGGTGGAAGTCAGAAAGTGGTGCTTTTCAGCGGCCTTGTTGTGGCGCAGCTGGTAAAGCTCCCTCCTGCGACACCGGCATCCCATACGGGCGCTGGTTCTTGTCCAGCTGCCCCACTTCCCATCCAGCTCCCTGCTATGGCCTGGGAAAGCAGAGAATGGCCCAAGTGTTTGGGCCCTGCACTCGCATGGGAGACCTGGAAGAAGCTCCTGGCCTCCTTGCGGCCCTCTGGGGAGTGAAACAGTGGTTGGAAGATTCCCCTCATCCCTTTCTCTCTGTAACTGACTTGCAAATAAACAAATCTTTAAAAACAACAAAT